GGTGACATAATTGATATAATTACTCAGAAGTGGCTTTAGAAGTGAAAATTCGAAGTTTAAAATTACGTGGTACTCAACGGCAAAAAGATAGAAATTTGATAAGGTTAAAATTGCTATTAAGTGAGAATAAAGGTATTTGAGTGTCAATTTAACAAGTGTGAAGAGGGTGTGAAAATATACAAAAGGAGCATATGAGAGTGATAATAGCGAATTAATTATTGAAGCTAAAGCTAACTAAAAGTGAAAGTAGAGTGAAAAGAAAAAATCAAAAAATATTTCATTTACAAGGAACGATTAGTGAAGAGGTTAAGACCAAGGTAGAATAAGAGACTGGACAAACTTTTTCTGTATACAGAGTTCAGGGTTGTATTGATGAATTGCTAGAGCCTCCGCCATACACAAAAGCCGAAACCTGACGCCCTTTGTACCATTTGGCTTCACTTTGTAGATGATCTTGAAAGAGGATTCTGGTGGAACTACGTGGCCTGAGTTCACCAAATGCTCGAGAATTGAGCTAGTAATTGTCTTACATTGTCCCTTTGCTAACCATGCCGGATAATGCTCAGAGATGCGTTTGGAAAGCGTGCGCTTTGTGCGGCCAATATAACTAGCTCCACACGAGCAAGTGAATTTATAAACACACATTGATTCTTCGCTGAATCCGTCTTTTATTTTCTTCATGACTCAATGGGTATTTTCGGTGATTTAAAAAACCATTAATCTGTTGTTTCAAGTATCTCATAGAATATATCTCAAATACTCCCCTTTCCACAGCAGTTGCAATTTTGTTTTTCTGTGGATAAGCAGTTAAGTTGCATTTCTAGTATTTAGGGATTGTTACTGATCAAAGAAGCTAACTTGGTGAGCTATGGGAACCAAGATATTCGGCTGATATAGTTTCTCGTGAGACTATTTTCTCTTGGTTTACCAGAGGACTGGAATACTGCCTGGAAGCCTAGACCGAAGCTAGTGACCTGAAGTTTAGATAACAAGGCAGTGAACAGCGTCAGCAGCTACTATCAAATGGTCACCGATGACCAAAACAGGTTAGTATACCATTCAATCCCTTTGGATTCTGGAGAACATGTGCATCATGGGTTTGGAATTAGGGTTTCTCATCTCCCTTAGGTATACTAGGATGTTATGTAGTCCATTTAAAAGTGCCAGACATTCGCCTTTTCAATTTTGTGGGGAACACCCCCACTTAATGAAGGTCAGTGAATAGGACGTGCGCGGCACAGACACAGGTATGATTTAGTCTTCAAATAAACTATTTTATCTGTTTTTGGGAAATATCAAAACATGTCTGCTTTCTTTAATATAGATCATAAAATTAGGATTGAGTAGTGTAATCGACAGCAATTCCACTTCTGTTTACCACCTTTGTAAAGAGTCACGTAAAGAACTAATAATCAACTATTCATATGTTAAAGCAGTGTCAAAATACTCATCTCTACATAGTGCATTATCATGACCTGTCAAATGGCCCATTTTGTTAGATGTATTAGCATTAGAAAGAAATTCAAGTGGTTTAGGTGAAATGGGTGAACAAAAGCCTACCAGTCGACAACCAGGATCTGATCACTTTTGGCAATAAAAAACCATTGACAAAATAGAGGATTAGGATAAAATAATCGCTTTTATATCTGGCTATCTGCTTAAGTCACTGGGCCACCTAAAATATCCAGCCGGTATAATGCTTCCATTTCTTGTTATTTTAACCACCTAACTGTGTTTTTAGATCACTACATGAACTCGAACACAGTTCTAATTTGCTGTAATGAAGAACGCTTCTCAACAGAAATCAGTAAACCATATCCTAGAGATTTGGATTTCGCCTTAGATGGAACATCAAAGCGTCACACGATGTACTGCTAAATACCATCTCTACTGAAGACACTGTAAGAAGACTAGACATTTCGCAATGTAAATACACTGAAAACTCTGTACTATGTGTTGGAATATTTTGTAGAATAAAGCTGTTATTATTTTGGTGAAGTTGTGTTCTCTGAGTTGGATGGTTTATTAGCGAAGCTTTCATTACCCTACTAGGCAACATCTTCATCTCATACAAATTCAATTTGAAGTGAGCTCTTAGATCTCTCCGCCGGCTTTTAAATCATCTCTCCTGGTGACTTGAACTTGAATGTGATTCGTTGTTTTTGTGTGTTTTCACACCCTCTAGGCTGCTGGTATTGGTACTAATTGTTTCTTTGACCTGAACTTTGACCTTTTGTGTATGAGGTTTCCTTAGTATCGATTGAAAGATTTTGTCTATGTTAATGTGTCCTCTTCAACGTAGCGTGCACTTCACGAAAACGTTCTCAACAGCATGCTGTTGGCAGTCGTCAACAAGTGTCTTATCTGTCTCTATAATAAAGACAAAATGACTAAAATGGCCAAACAACAAAAAACGAAGAACTTATCTCCTAACAAACTTTCCGGGAGAACTGGAGATGGATTGAATATATACTGAAGACAATATCGAGGGAGGACACACGCCAAGCACGTACTCAAATAGAACCCAAGTGGAAAAGAGTGATTTGGGCACGGGCAATTAAATTACATGGAGGAAATCTTGTGAGCAGGAAGGGAAACATTGCGGGCAATCTCGCAGCCAGCTGAAGATGACTGCGGAGAAGAGGGTAAAACGGAGATGTGCCACTGAAGCACTATGTTCCACCTGGAATGTAAGTGAATAGTGATAGTAATACATTTCAACAACACTATGCATTTCAACACATACTTCGAATCACTTCATGTATGTGTATATATACATATATATACGTATATACTTTGACTGGCCACTGAGTGGAAACGTATTTCATGGATCTAGGCTTTAGTTTAGTGTAAACTGAATTGAGTCAGTCACTTTTGCAAAGTGAACACCATGCTAGGTGACTCAACATCACAGTGCACCCTGAACAGCTATCAGCGGGCTGGAAGCAACCGGCAAGAAATCCTGTACCTAAGTTCCACGCTTGTTGACACTTGTCAGCAAAGCGTATCTGCAGTCTTGAAGGAATTCATGTATTCTCTGAGATTCGAACTCTGGTTACACAGTAATACAAGCCCAAATAGGTCAGCATGAACGTCTCACTATGTTAGAATTCATTGGTCATTCACTTTTGAACTAATTGATAATGCGGTCAACGAGCTTCTCCTTGTAGCCTGAAGGTCTTGAGTTCAATCCTAGGTGATGGAGAGGACGCGTACTTCTGAAGAGCTCCAAACTGAAGTGAGACAGCTGTCCAGTTCAATGCTTTTCTGATCCAAATCAATCTCTGATCAAACTTGAACTAACACCGTTTGCTTCCTTTCCATGTAGGTTGTAAACAGTTAACAAGATACCGATTTAAAAGAAATGTTTCCACTTTATGCTAATCTAATTCGTCTCTTTTTTCCTTCATTCTTTGAGTTCCAGATAGAATATGGGACTTCCAGATTTGAACTTCCGTTAACACTGGTGCTGCTTTATTTAAGCATTTGGGTTGCTAGCCCCAAGCCTAACCTTCCTTCACCTTTTCATTTAAAATCAGCCAGTAAACTAAGTGAAGTCTAGAATTGAGCCTTAACCACTCGAGCAGTTGTTGAGCACTCAGCAGTTGAACCACCAAAGTAAAATTATAATGTTACACAAACGAATACACTTTTATCAAATCCCTGTACAAGATTAAATCTACCTTTTTTAGAGGAAAATCTGAATACGAGTTTAAAAAAGAAATTCTACTGTTTTAGATGTAGTGTTCTCTGAGCTGGATAGTTTATTTGCGAAGCTTACATTGCCCCACTAGGAAACATCTTCATCTCATACAAATTCAATTTGAAGTGAGCTCTTAGATTTCTTCACCGGCTTTTAAATCATCTCTTCTGGTGAGTTAACCTTGAATGTGATTCGTGGTTTTTGTGTGTTTTCACACCCTCTAACCTACTTTTATTGGTATTGTTACTGATTGTTTCCTTGACCTGGACTTTGATCCTTTGTGTGTGAAATCTTCTAATCGGTTGGTATATTTTGTCGATGTCGATTTGTCCATTGATTGACGAATCACTGGAATACCAGTACCTAACAACGTACTTCCAATTCAACGGCAAATATATGAACAAGTTGAAGGAACACGCGTGGGATCGCAAATATAAGGTTTGATTACAGAAGCGGTGATGCAAAGGCCCGAAAACATAATCAAACCCGAAATTTGGATACGTTACGTGGACGACACATTTGTAATAATCAAAAGAAACGAGTTGGATAAAACTCGCAACTTAATAAACAACGTCTTCAACGATATCAAATTCACAGGAGAAGAGGAATCCGAGAACAAAATCACATTTTTGAGCATCTTAGTCAAGCGAACAACTACAGGGGAATTAGAAACTCAAGTTTATAGAAAATCAACTCGCATAGACCAAATTACACAAATTACAACAGCAACAATCCAGTAACACACAAAAGGAGTTGTATACAAACACTATTCTAGAGGGCCAGCCAGCCAGGACTCATTGCAGCACTCCCACCTAAAGGAAGACTGAAAAAAGATATCTCATGGATGTCTTCCAAAAGAATAGGTATCCATGGAATTTCATCAAGAGACATATACCTCCAAACCAACCTACCGAATCAAAGGCCCTCAAAGGAAGCACAAAGAAAATCGCCCTACCATACATAAAGGACATTTCATAAATCACTGCAAGACTGTTCAATCCTTTAGGAATTGATGTTGCACGAAAGCCAACAAAATCACTTTACTCTCCTCTATGTCAACCGAAAAAATTCTACAGTGTCTAGCAATATTATTATTAATATGTATTCACTACTGAAATGAGTTTATTAAGTAAATACAAACTGTAATGTAACAGAATGAACATCTTTAAAAAAAGTGAATAAAGACAACGGGAAACATTCAGCTTTCTTCTACATCATTTTCAGTGATCAAAATAACACTGAAAGGGAATACTTAATAGAGAAGTAAGTGTTTGGCAATTGTATTTTGCATTAGATATTAACTCGATTCAATAAAATGAACACTGGTTGAATTTTTCGTCTGTGTTTCCAAGCTGTCACCATGTCCTGAATCACAATCTGTCGGCAGACCGATACTGGACGCAACATTTGTGTACCCCGTGTGAATCTTAGACCAATACTCTTGCAGCGGTATTAGATAACACGTCTAGAGAAAAAATTGAAGGAAAGAAATAGATGGACAGAAAAAAAGGAGTGACTGGCTCTCAAAAATCACGTTTTCGATGCTTTTGCAACGTTAAAATGTAGACTAAAATTTTCACATCAGTTGTAGATCACACAACTTACCTTCACTATTGTGTGTAAGGCCATGTAATCCTTATTTAGACAAGCAGACATCTGAACAACTGACTTTGTCAAAGAAAACTAGGAAAGCACGCTATCATTTTATGTCGTTGGACTTTGTCAATTGCATGCAACCTGAAAAAGTCACGATATCAAATCAGTGTGCACAGTGATGATGAGCTACCTAGAATGGTGACCACATTTCAAACCTGACTGACGGAATTCAGTCTGCACCGAACCATGGTCTAGACACATCACACTAGTTATTAGTGTCCAATTGGTCGCACAGCAGTAGAATACCTGCCAACTACGCAGGTGATTCGGGGGTCGATCCACAGCCGACCCACTCCTGTACCTCGCTAAACCAGTAACAAAACTAGTAAAGAGGGAAAGTTGGGCATGAGGCTAGCAACCCCATCCCGTAAAAACAAACACCACTGCTACCGAAGCTTGGAAGCTCTAGCTTGAAGCTCTATGTTCCACTGGGAAAGCAAAGAAATACAAAAAATCAAAGTAATCTGGTTGGCAAGTTCACTGCTGATATTTATCTCTTCACACAAAAACCGTCTTAAATATGATACGTTTGAATATTTATGTTTAGCGTACAACCATAAATTTTAATAAAATTTCTTCTGACCTTTTCGAAGAGATACAACGAAGCATTTGCGAATAAAGAGGATGTTCGGTATCAGACAAGATAGCTTTAGCCAACTGCTTGCAAAAACTAAAGTGCCTATTAACAACAATGTCACTGTGTCGAGTCACAAGCACACAAATAACCTAACTTCGAGCGTTCAGTGCTTTACTTATTTTTTTATTATGTCTTTGAGAAGTGTTTGGAAGATTAAACGTGCACAACAAATAAGAATGGGCAGAATACATGAACGAATAATTGTAGGTAAAGAGGTGATGTTGAGTTATGCCAGGAAGTCCCAACTTTCTCATGTACAAAGTTACACGGAAGATCTTTTAAGAATTCGATAACACTTGAAACGACCAACAGAGATTCGAAGAGAAACTGGTGAAGAGATAAAAGATATTCGATTCAATTCCTATCACAGTGCCGCCAATACTATAAAATCCGTGGGACTGAGTCAGTCTACGAAAGTCTTACACGCGTCCAAAACTAAAATCAGCATTATAGCATTGAGATGGATTTAAGACCACTTGAGTGAGACATTTGGTTTACCTCGAATAAGCATCTACCGATATAATAATTCAATGCAGAAACTACTGGGACAAACGCTCTCAGATCATCATCGTGAAATTGCCTTTGGAAGAATACTGTAAATCATTCAAAATGAAATTAAAATGAAACTGTGTAAGTACAGCACCTTTAGATACACCAGTTTGCGTAAGCAAAGAAATGGTGCGCTTTCTATTTAAAACAGAATGTTGTTTTCCACCCAAAAAATAGAAAGGTCACCTCCTTGTGACCTACGACTCACTGTGTGCTCAAATCAGCTTGCTTAGGAACAGTGTCCTAGGAATAGAGCCAAAAGCAGCAGAGTAGTCTAAAAACGTGGCTCAGACAGACGCTTCACCGTTATCCAGACTTGGAATAATATTGTGATGGAGTACGGTGGCAGCATCTTAAGTGCTTCTAATGCATTTATAAGCAAACTGCTTTAGGTCAGTGAACGATTTTAAAGAAGATTCAAGAATATGCAAGAGAAGTTTCTTCACAGCTTTCAAACATGGGAGCATGAAGGCGACTGCCCTAGACTTTAAACCTGATCTGGAAGGTGTTTATTGGTAGAGATATCACCTTTATTTCCTTCCAAGCCAGACCTACTGTATTTATGTTGAATGATGCATTTAAGATTTGTGTCAGGAGATGGCAAAAGATGTTTGCCCACTTTTGAGATGGATTGCTCGGTACACCATTGTACCTTCAAGAGGTTTCGTAATGTATACAGTTTATAGCGCATAAATTATGCTATCAAGTCACTGTAGTAAGACGTAATGGTCAAATTAAAGTTAAAGATAATGTCAACCCTTTGTATGAGCATTTTTCATTTCCGAATCCTCCCAATATTGTTGTAAAGCAATGTAAATTAGCAAAAAATGTTCTTGAAATAATAGAGGAGATTAGTAGCTCAGGTGGATGATTCGCAATTAGTAGTGTTCTCTGATCTGGTTGGTTCAGTTGTGTAGCTTACATCATCCTTCTGGACAACATCTTTAGTGCAAATTTTAGCATAAAGTGAACTGATTTAAATTTTCCATGAGTGATTGAATTGCGTCTCACGGTAACTATCTTTTCACGTCCGTCGATCATTTTTATTGACTTGGATTTAAAACTTTCTCGTCACATGATTTATTTTTTATTAGTTGGTATATTTGGTTTATATTAACATGTTTGTTAATTGCATTATCGTTTGAGTACCGGGCTTCTAGGAGTTTTCTGACACTTTTGGTGTTTCCTCTGTCTAAGATTTTGACATTATCCCAATCAAACTGATGTCCATCATTATCTACATGCTTCGATATGAAAGAATACATATCATGTCTTTTCACAGCTGATTTGTGTACCTGGATTCTGATTTGAAGGCAACGCTTACTTTGACCGTTGTAATGTCTGTTACAGTTCATACATGGAATATATTTTATAAATGGTATTAATTTTATCTTCTCTTTCTGTTGGATCTTTAGGTTTGCACAATATCGAATTAAGTGTTTGGACTGGCTTGTGTGCTATATCTATTTCAAATGGTTTCAGTATTCTAGCTGTTATTTCAGAGATTTTTTATATATGGTAGGATGAAAATAAAAACTAACCAGATCAGAGAACACTAATAATTACAAAAATTTTTTATCTGAGGATTTAAAAACATTTATCAGAAGAGAACGTACATTTTGTGAATCTCCATTCAACTTTGAAAATGTCTTAAGTGTACATGGTATTGAAGACTGGTCATTCATAAACTCTGTATGCAATCCATTTTCATTTATATTTGATACTCCATTATCGAAATGATTTGCGTATACACCATATGGGCAGTTGAAATTGGTGGGTACCGAATCTTCTTTAGAAATCATCTTCGAATTGATTGTGCGCACTGATTGTAAAACATCATGGCTGGGATCATTTAGGATGGTTTGATTTACATATGGACAGTAATTATAAAATGCTTTAATGGATGGATAATAGTCAGAAGGGTTCTCAACTTGAACAGGTAAGATATATACACTTTCATTCATATGACTCACTGATTCCAAACCGGTACTTGTACTATCTTCCAGTGGGATTTGATACGAAATATTGCACAATGATTGAACACCTAAAATGTATAACGGAAACATTTTCAATTAGACATAGTTGGAATCTGACAGACTTCATAAGAGGATTTTAAACACAACAAGAGTACGATAATATTTATGAAAGTTTAAACTAATATCTTACTAAATTACATTTGGATTATCCAGGATTGATGCAAAGACAAAACGAAAGACAAGCTGCTTAACTGTGTCAATTCTATGTGCATTTACAAATTTATCTGCCCTTAGAGTGAAAGCTAGATGGGCAGAACAACTAGACAGCTGAACAAACGTATTACTTAGCATCTTCCTTCATGGTTTGGAAAAGGTCAAATAAAATTTACAAAAACTTCTATTCTGCTTCATTCGATTGATGATAGCGGTCACCAAGTGGACAGAAGTAGTTTCTTCGAAATTATCTGTCGCATTCCGTAAAACCTTCCGGAATTCGAAATGGCAAAGCAGAAGTTACGAGAATTTCACAGAACAATCCTGGTCTTTGTATACAACAAAAGAAGTTTGTTCTACCTTTGTCTCTCCTTTAGCCTAGATCAATTCTAATTAAAACTCTCTCATTCTTTCTTATTTTCCATTTCATTCGTACTTCCATGATATTCATTTAAACTGTGACCATCTGTCCACTTCACCTTAAGTATTGCGGAACTTTTAGGATTTGACCTAATTTTTTAATGAATTGTCTACACCTTCCTACGACTTTGACCACTGATTGCTATCAGTTAGAGAACTATTGAAAACCAATCAGGGAGTACTCGACAGCTGTTTCATCCTAGTGTAGGATTGATCTGCAGCACACACCCACTACAAGGGGGTTCAAACCCAGGACCTTGCGCTTACAAGGCAAGCTCGTATACCATTCATCCACTGGGACCCGATTCAATGGCCAGTCCATGAATTCTAATTCCTACCAATTCATGATTTAGCGCGACCGCCAACCAATGTCATCTGTGGGAAATCCATCCTCACACTTGACTGGAGGAAAATCACTGGTCACGACTTCTCACTAGAATTCCAAGAAACTCCATCCTGTAGCAAGTCACTAGCGAGCAGCAGATTAATTTTCAAGAGTTGGTTTGTAAGGATTAGATCTGCTTTTATGAGTTTGACCATGGATTGATATCACCTTCGTTATTCTTATCGCCACCTGCATACAACTTATTATCATTATTTTGTTATCATTATGATCATCGTTATTACTGAAATTCAAAAGATTTAACACTTACAATCACTATTATTATGTGATCCACAAACTCACGTCACTGGTTAAAACCTTTATATATAAATCTATGTAAATCAGAGTAAAGCCTGAGGAAGATCCAATTGAAAAGAACACTGTTCACTTATGAGTCTTGTTCTAATATTAACAATGAGAATATTTAAAGATTTGAAATCACAAAAGCAGTTACCTGAAAAAACAGAATTTTCTAAATTTTGTACAACAATTCACCACTATTCAGTTGTACCATACGTCTCCTGAACAATTAACGCTACAATATAATTCTCGAAATCAGTTAGCTATCAAGAAACCAAAACCATGTGGACTGAAAGGAATTCTGAGTTCTCCGAATCTTACAACATTACTTGAATATTGAAAGATCTAGACGGTGAAATACATGGACGGACTTTACTTTAATATCTACTTATTCCTCGTTCTTCTTTTGCAAGCATACTAGTACAAGCCAATAGTGATGCGATACTGCAGATGTTTATTTATGTTCGTCTTTTAACCAGGGGGTACTGGGTTCGACCCCTGTGAGTACGTACCACTAAACAGCCTTGAACTGGGACGAAACAGTTATCCAATATTCCCTGGATTTCCAGCTCGTGATCAAACTTCCAAACAACCAAATTCCTGCAGAACAATACTTGATAATATCGGCTACCTGTGAAAAGATGACACCTTCAAATTTCAGTAGTAAGGACACGTATAATCGTCTATTTTACTCTGAATAAGTAGGTGCAAAATTAATGTAGTCGGGTTTAATAAGTAACCCATAACACTATTAAGGTAATAACATCCAAAGGATTTGCTAGACCATCTGATTACAGAGTTGACTAAGACTCTCAATTCAGTCTTGCATCCTTTTACATTCCTTTGTGATCCTAGTGGAACACAGGGCTTCAAGCTTTATCTCTGAGGCTTCAGTAACTGAGGTGCCATTTTTTGTCTGATGAGATTGCTTGCTAATCTTCCTTTTTAACTAGGCTTCCTACCGGTTAGGCTAGGTTCAGGCGTCAGTTACCGAGGAATTGAACGCTAACGGAACGCTTGGTTGGCAAGCATTCTACCTATGAATCTTCAGTGCAATGTGACGTTATCCACCAGACCATTCGTACCACCCTTGTACCTAGCAGAACGCATTCGTTTCCCAATGTGAAATAAACAACAACATGCGAAAACGGCTATATCAATGAAGTTTCCGAGGACAATTACTTATTATTATACCAATATATCCCACAATAAATAACATTTACGGAAAAAGTTGATTTATACAAATGAAAACAAATTACCTTCATTATTCTGAACTTTTGAGAAATCAGAAACTGCTGATTTCAGACGCCAATGTGTAGAATCCATAGAATTATTGCTGTAGGATTTCCTGATGGTTTTATTTGTTGAATTACTTACATTTAGATAATTCCGACTACCTTTGACATGACGTAATAATGTAAGGAATAAAAACAGAAGTATTGTTGATATTATACAGGCTGCTGCCACAATGGCTATGATGATGTACAGATTGAGTTTATTCCTACTTAGGCCAAAATTGAAACCACTACCCACTCCATTGTCTGCATGATACAGCCTTCCAGTGAGATGAGCTTTCGATTCAGATTCATCGATTCTAATAATTAGTTCAGCTAAAGTGAAACGATATGGTTTTCCACAGTCTCTTGCTTCAATCCTCAGTGGATGATCACCTATTGCCGAGTATGGAATACTTTTATGTATATTCAATATTCCGTTATTTGGATTCAAACGAAAGTAATTTGCATCATTACCAGAATGAATAAAATAGAGGATGGTACCATTTTCACCGGCATCATCATCTACAGCTTTTACCTGAAATTAAATAAAATGAATAAAGGTTTAGAAGCAGACAAGGTGTCTTATCGGAAAAGAAAAAGAAATTCGTACAGGTGGTTCCCCTGATAAATGTCAATAAAACCGCATCGTTTCATATTGAGTAGAGCTTATTCTTTTTCTTAGTTTCTTGAAGTCTGGAAATAATGTGAGCTACAATCCTAGGGTGGGAGTTTCACAGTTATATTTACACAAATGTGTTCTAACTAATGTTAATCGAATTAATTATTGTAAGGATAGCGATCGGGCACTAGGGTAGAGTGTAATTCCACATTAGACAAGTTTATTTCAAGTATCGCACAGTGGTTAGCACTCTCGCCGACCATCACATGGTCCGGGGTTCGATCCCCTGCCAGCGAACACCTGATATCAATGGTCGGCCTGCAAAATTTGGGCTACCGAAATCGCATGCTGCGAATCCCATACCTGCACCGAAAATGCGGTGTGGAATCAAGCTGTAATCAAAATCAAAATAATAACTTGATGACTTTTTCGGCATAAATTATTGCTCATGCTGAATCAGGAAATGTAGCTTTGGTCAGATGTCTATATTATCGGGCCAGGTGCTTAAATAGTAAGCCAGAAGACTTACATGATAAAATTGAACAACTAAGGGAACTATTACTGGTTAATAACTGTCCGCCAGAATTTATTCAGAAATGTATGAAGAACCATAGAAAAATTTAGGATTAATAATGAAAATGGTGAAAAATAACGAAAATAATATAGAAATCACAAACTCTGTAGTACTGCCGTGCAACGAATGAACGTCAGAAGCCTTATGTAGGTTTCGCAATGTGGCTGGAATTAGGGTGGGATTTAAACCGACCGACCAACTCACTCAGAGATAAACTTTGTCTGCCTGAGGACCCAATAGATCCAATGAAGAAAAATAATATAATTTACCAGATACCATTTAATTACTGTGAGAGAAATTACATAGGCTAAATTGGGTCACTTAGATTATTTGAACATACAAATTTATTATTATTCTTATTTTATACATTCACATTTTTGACTTTATTCCTACCGTAAATGTGGACAATTTTCTGGGGTTAATTTCATTTACATTTTGAGTAAATTAGGTGCAAATGCTGAGAATTTCATTCGGTATTAAAAGTACTATTTCTGGAATAAAGCAGATTATTATTATTATTAATTTAGCTAGACCTAGAACGATTTACGCTGCTAAGTTAAACAACCTAGAAGAAATTGAAGCAATTGTATTGTGACTAAACTGATATGATTTTTTGAAATAATTCATGCTCGAAAACTTGTCATCCGCATTAACCCTGTATGATATTTGAAATAATCTTATCTATTATGAATTTAGCCAAATTAAGCCATTGATAACTTTCAGGGTGTGCTATATGGTTTCGACAACACATTTCGATTGAATTTGGCGTTTTCACCGTCATTTTCATCTGTCTGCATGAGTGCCCAAAAGATATCATTTCCACCTGATATAATCTCTTCCATGTCACCGTCAAACCCACGCCATAGTTCTTGTTTATCGTCCGCGTCTCACTCGAAAACCTGTCGTGTAATTTCATATGAATATCTTCCCAGTGTATGTCGAATTTGTCTGTATTTACTTATGTTCTCAGATGTCCTTGTCAGTTTCAATAGAACCCAGCGGCCTGTTGATAATGCTTTTAATAAAACGTGCTCCACGTCTTTGAACTCTTAAGAAGCCTGAATTTGACATTTGTGTTGGAAATACCAGATCTCGTTCCTTGCTTTGGTAATGTGATACTGGCTGGATTTCGAAATCTTCATTTGTTCTACCTGTGTTTGAAAGGATGCTGCTTATACCTGATGAGTGAGAGGGGTGACCTCCTTCATATTTCTCCCTTGATGATGACTGATCATTTTTTACTGCTGGTCGTGAGTCATTATCACCTCTGCCTTCTCCATATTCACCTATCTTAACCGTCTCTTGCGAAAAATTGTTGATTTTTACTTGTAAATCCTACAGTATATGCGAAATGAAACACAAATCATCCACAAAAACCAGAATATATATGGATCTTAGTTAATATCTCAAAAATGCAATACTGGAACCTTGTCTGAGAAAACATCTACCTCCCAGGCGACATGAAACTTTACTCATAAAAGTATGAGGCATAAATTAATTTTAGGATTTCACATCAGTGTATCGTTCTTATTCAGGATATTTTAACTTAATTTTTTTAAAATTTTATTATAGCTTGATTCCACACAGTATTTTGGTACAGATATGGAATTTTCAGCATGTGTTATCGGTAGCCCAAATGTAGCAGGCCAACCCTTTGACACCAGGTGTGCATCTGCCGCGGATCGAACCCCAGACCTTGTGTATGGTCGGCAAGCATCCTAACCAGTGTGCCACCAAATCACAGTGAAAATCATGGCAAGTTTCTCATACTTCTAATTAGAGAAGAAGGTGATATATGTATGAAAAAGACCTTGGTGAAAATATTGAAACAAAGTTGCTGTGTCACAATTTTATTACAATTTAGATTTCGTCACGAATAAACATAAGCTAGAGATTATCAAACAACAGGTAGCACTGGACATCTATCCCGTTCCAGTTTGGAACTCGTCAGCAGTGCGCACCTGCCAACTTGCCAGGGATCGAAAAAGGAACCTTCAGATTAGCGGATGAAGGTCATTGGTCATTCAGCCATTAGGGTGGAATTTCAGTGACTCACAAATTCTAACTCCTGTCAATTAGTGACAAACCAGTGCCCCCAACAATTACCTTTGATGACTGTCGACTTCACCCCCAATGGCAGCAGCTTCTCAATGCATTTTCAGCACATCCATCGTATTGCGATATTTGAGCTTGAGATTAACATTCCGATTATAGGTTTTTGTAGGGGGTTCGAGCTGATTTCAATACAGATTTCGTCATGAATCAACCCAGATTAGAGATAACTGAAAATCGACCAGCCATAGAAAACTGTCTCCTCTCTAATGTTATTCCTGGTGGGGTCGTGGATGAACACTAATGAAGAGTCTCTTAACAGAATGAAACAGCTGTTCAGTGCTACGTGGTTTTCAATGATTTTTGAGTAGTGCTGATTGGTGACAAAATCTATATCCAAATCCTTACGAAAATTTTCGTATTCTACATTTTTATATTAAAACTGAAGGCTTTCACATCACTAACTTTGCATAACTTTCTTTGTGATTACATATGTATACATATATATGTAAATGTTTAGATGCCATTATATCCTGTATTAACTGTGCATTTATGTATCTCAGTAGACGTAGTAATTTTGATGTACATTTAGCCTTGAATAGTTACTTTCAACGCACTTGCACCTCACTGTAGGTTTTCATATAAAACCTAGAATGAGTTCTTGTTTTCGCTCAATGATTTCACTTAGCATAGACATTTGCCTAAACATATATATGTATGTATACATATCCATCCCAAGCAAAATACTAAGCCGCATCATCCTGGAGAGAATCAAACACGCCCTGGATGAAAAACTCCTACAGGAACAGGCTGGATTCAGGAGAAACAAGTCATGTATCGATCAAATCGCATCATTACGGATCATCATTGAACAGAGTTTGGAATGGCAGTCACCTCCCTAGCTCACTCAACTTCTTGGATTTTGAAAAGGCCTTCAGCAGATAGCGTCGATCGAGAGGTGATTTGGCAACTACTTCACTACTAAAAGGTGCCGCCAACAATTATAGATCTCCTCCAACAGTTGTACGACAATGCTGCATACCAAGTAATCCACAGTGGGAAACTCACGGAATCCTTCGAAGTGAAAATGGCAGTAAGACGAGCTGACTGCCTACTGTCTCCAGTGATTTTCCTGATTGTGGTAGACTGCATTACATGACAGACAGCGGGCAGTGAGGAAACATACATAAAATGGACCCACACAAAGATCTTGGAGGATCGGGACTTCGTCGGTGATATATGTATGATTTACCACAAACTGTATGATATGCAAGTAGAAAGCATCAGGTTGGCGATAGAAGACGCATCCAGATAAGATAACACTTCAGGTTAACACAGAAAAAACAGAGGTGATGAAGATTCCTGGCCAACACCAACAGCAACACAACAGACAACAATCAGTCAGCATAAATGGGAGAAATCTGAAAGAAGAAACTTCCTTATATCTACCTACCTTCCTACCTACCCACCTACCTGGGTGGAGTTTTTTCAACTACAGACGGATGGCATTGATGAAGATATCAAAGCAAGGCAAGCTTTCATTACTCTCGAGTCTGTGTGGAGGAGATCGACAGCACTCAGCACAAAAAATAAGATTCGGATTTTCAATGTGAAGTCACTGCTACACACTATATGGATCAGAGACGGCGCAGCATTACGAAGGGTACTTCAAACAAACTACACATCTTCATATACGGCTGTTTTCGCTTAATAATACTCACGAACAGATGACCAGCGTGAAAAGATCAGAAACAGAGGTATCTGAAAGCGAACGAACGAGGAACCGATTGTGTCACAAATATGCAGGAAGAATTGAAGGTGGATTGACCATTCTCTGACGAGACATACCATCAAATGAATGACATCACACGCCAGGCCATTGCTCGAGTGGAACTCGAATGATGAGCGGCGGGTTGGTCGTCAGTGCGAGGGTTGGGTGACATGGAGCAGATGATGCAAAGAAGAGATGAAAGCATGTGGACAGACGTTGAGCCAGATGAAAACGTTGGCGGAAAACCGAACGCAATGGAGACGTGTGGCTGAAGCCCTACGTTCCTCTAGGAGCTTGAGGAAACAATAATATATGTGTTTATTTATGTACTTAAAACTTTACTGATTACGTGGACACTTTACTATAGACAGTTATACTACTTGCTGTTAGACCTAACCACTTATCTAATGACACACAATCCAACTATTTAGTGACTACAATATCTCAGAAAAATTATTCTATAACAATTTTTCAATTGAATGTATCTCAATTAGAATGCAACTAGATTATTATTCACTG